ACATGAGAATATTCCACTAAGCGTAGATAGGCAAGATTTGTTTATTCCATGCCTTGAAAATACTGTCTACCTGATTTGAATTTCTGTCTGTCTACATGCATCCTGTTTACGACACTCTTGCCTTCTGAATCAAAGTGAACCTACGAGCATTGTGGCTTGGCAAATATGGTGCTTGTTTTAAATGTTTTGCAAAATAACTGCATCTTGTGAATACTTTTTATAGGACAACAAACTAATAACTTAGTATCAATTTTTGAGAGATTATTCCTCATTTTAAAACATCCAAAATTCAACAACTAATATTCTAACATCAGCAGCTAATCCAGCCCTGGTCTTCTGGACATCCTAATAAACACACTGATAGTAGGAGTTGGAACAATGTGCAGGAATGAAGAAATGGATCCCTGGGGCTGAAGATGGCAATAGCAGGCACAAAAGCCAAAATGAAACCTGTGAAAGGATGGGCTAAGCTTTTGCAATGAAGTCTTCAGTCGTGAAGTTCCATGAGAACAAAATTCAGGACAGTTGCATTCAACTTTTGGTTTTGTAATGTGTTTTCCTTAAGGCTTTTAAGCACCTCATTTGATCCATATTTCTAAATTATACCGAAAACAAAACCAAAAGGCCCTGACTCTCACAGATACATAGATTCCCAGCTCCTAGGAATTTGACTTCCAGTGATACAGTGGTTTTGTGTCTAAATGCCTTTGAGAAGCTGGGACTGTTTTTCTCCTTCCCTAGCAAATGAGAACAAAAGTGAAATAATACAACAAAGAATGAGAGGAGGATTCCAAACTAATGATAATAAGAAGGTTTCAGGTTAACTAGCCACAGGGATGAATTTACAGAGAGGACTTTTCTCAAAAGATGATTTAGAGCTAAGCATCTGGAGAAAGTAGCCTGTCCCTGGCATAGCTAAAGAGCTTTTTTCCTACTAAGGTGTAAAGCAAGAAGAATGGAAAGATTTATGTAATCTTCACACTCAGAGTCAGCATCCTGGAAAAAGAAAATCAGGTAAAATATAGCAATGGCTAAAGCAGGCAGAAAGATGTACAGCAGTGAAAAGTACCAGTATTAGCAAAGAGATGTGTGATATGAATAAGTAGGAGGGCTGTACTTAATTCATCTTAGGAACTGAGAGCTGTGGAGAAGAAACAAGGGATATACTTGCCAACACAGGGATATTGCCCACAGAGTGGGCAGCAGTGTGGCAGACTTGGCCTGATGCTGAAGACGATGTAAGGGCAACAACAAAGCAAGGGGATTGTGATCACTGCTGCGACAATTTAGAAGAGATGAACTGTTCAGAAGGAGTGTGGGATTAACTCAAGGATCAAGTTATTGCTTCAGGCCCACAGATGTGATGCTCAGTATCTTTTCCTCCTTAACATGTAAGGCTTCAGAGCAGGACAGACTGCTTCACACAGAGGCTGTGTGACTGTTGCTTAAGTGACCTGCTTCAGCCAATGACCTGCTGTGGGAAGGAAAAGGCGGAGTTGAAACCTCCTTAGCTGGGTGTGCTGATGACCGATGCAAGGCTCAGAGCTGGAGGTTACATGCAACGTTTCAAGGTCCCCTCTGTAAGTGGAGGGGAGAACCTTTTGTAACAACCCTGCTAATGCTGCAGGTAGGTGACCCTGCAGCTAGGACTGCTTTTGGTACCCACTCCACCCGTGAGTGAAGTCCTCTGGGACAGGCTGCTGCAGAAGAGGCTGGCTGGCAGAAGGCTGCTAGGCTTTTCTGTATTGCAGCTTAAAACAACCCCACTGCTTCAGTCACATCACCACCATTCTTCTGGAGCATTTCTCCTTTTGCTGGCTTTCTGACTAAGCCCAGAATAGAGTTCAGGATGTTGGTTTTCACCTCCAAAACTGCTTCCAGCACTGCTGTGAGTTATGTAGCTACCCATAGATTGTTAATGTGTATCAGCAAGTGCCAATGGAGGGGCCCTGGCTCCTCAGGAGACACTGCACAGCCTGCCAGTACATCTTTTCTCATTTTCTCCTTAAGGCTGTCTTTGTCTTCTGCTCACAGAACAGCTGATTTTCATACACATCCTTTTCACAATACCCCTCTGACAGTGTCCATGCAATCACCTCCCAGCAGCTCTCCCTGGCTCAGCTCTGCTGCTTGATGCCCAACCTAATAAAGGGCATGGCCCACTGGAATAAGTGTAAATACTTCCCTTGACTTCAATGGGCTTTGGAACTAGCTTGTGATAACCCTGATGGAGAAGGTCCTCAGCAACCCATCTGAAGCTGCTGACAACAGTCCCATTGCCTGAATTGGAAAGCAGTGTGCACCCCAAGAGCATTGTCTGCTTACTTGCTGTGCCCCTTCACACCTCATTCTTCTGACCTCCTGTAATCGCTTGCCAGGGGCAGATCTGCATGAGGTGCAGATGTTTGTGTGCCTGTGGCTTGCCCTGTGCACAGGATTGTGTTGTGTGGCACTGTGGGTAGCAGAAGGAAAGTATAGGGGCAGGAGTTGTCTCCCCAATAAAAATGTGCCTTTGCATTAGCTTGTAATTGATCCTAAATGTGCTAACCAGGTTTTCTTGGTGGATACAGTGTGTGAGTGCACATTGCCCATCACAGTGGCCTAGAGCCTAACCTATAAATATCATAAATACTAGTACTGGTGTTTATATTAAACAAGGGGTGAGCTATTGTTTCGCAATGAGGTGTTCAGAATATTTGGCAGCCTTGGGGCTTGGATGACATCAATTTTGACTTTCAAATCAAACTGCCACCTTGTGGTATAGTGGGGGAGAAGTCTCCGGGAAATAACAGCAGAAATACAGATATGTAGTAAAAACTGGTCCCTTTGCCCCACCAATGACTTACAGTATTTATGTATTCTTAAATATATTTTGACTATACATGGGGAAAATTAATAGACTTTCTTATATCATGCTTTAAAAAGTAAATCTTTTTGTGATTGCTAGTGTAAAACATAAAACCTCATGCTTCTGTGTTGTATTGAAATCACCAGTGCACTCATGTGAGTATTTTTTTCAAAAGTAGACCCAAATGCAGCTTACAGGAAAATACTAACTATAAAGGTATCTACAATTGTCTCTTTTCTCTCTTTTAAGCTCATTAAAGTTAAAAAAAGAATTCAGCGAGTCAGACCAGGGCCTTGCAAATTGGTAAAGGTGAGCAAGTTGTAGTGCATCATCTGGTCTGAGATGCTGTTCCTATGCATGCTTTTAGAACGTAAGGTAATTTTAATCAGCTTTCTCTTTCACTGAGGGCCAAGCCATCACAAATTACTTCACCTTGCTTGTCAACCAAGAGCAAGTGGAATGCATCAGCAGATGTACAGTAATGTTACATGGTTGTGCATCTCAGCCTTCAAGCAGCAGACAGCATGGGATGTACTGGCACAATCCTTTCAGCTAGATTGAATGTCCTTGTGTCATCTAATAGTATTTATAAAGATGATAGATTAATAGCTAGTCCATTTCAAATCAAAAAGTGTACCTGAGGTGCACAATTGATTGGAGCCACATATCAGTGCTTTCTGCATCCCTGACTTTTCAGGAATTTAGTGGTTTGAGAAGAAGTTGCAGATCACAAGAAGCCTATAAGATCTGCAGTACAATTTGTCTCTCTTGCTTATGCCAGACTAACATTAACACTTTTTTTTAAAGCACAAAGTGGAGTCACTTTTGCTGAACACTGGTTCTAGGAGACAGCTGATGTGCATTTCCATGGACGGGGGACCTGCACATCTTCATGGGGCTGCCCAAGAAGCCTGGCCCCTGGAAACCCTATGAACATGCAGTTTGCTCCGACTTCCAGTATTACCTGGCTCATTTTTCCCCATCATCCCATTTGGCAGCCAAACTCCCAGGAAGGATAAATATATAAATTTCTTCTGAATGGTTGCAGTAGCATCTGCTTTGTTGGGTGATTTGAATCAAGGGTCGATAGTCTCCTTCTAGCTACGGTCTCATACAGCAGTCCAGGTGGGTGCATGTGTGGACCACTTGTATGTGACACATGGCAGAAGCTCATGCTAGCCATGTGTGGATTTGTGTCTTCACAGACTACTGTCAACACAGGATGGGACTGGTGAAAACAGCAAGAAAAGGGAGGGAGGGGAAAGTGTTCAGTGGGTGATGGGGTTATGAGGGAGAAGATCTCAATTTAGATGAAGGGTGGGCAGAGGAAGGATAAGAGCCTATGGACCCATACAGACTCCTGTGCTTGCACCTGAATTAATTCATATGTAAGTCCCCTGCAGTGTGTGAGATCCTCCACCCCATAACATGGCTGTACAGCTCTGCAGCCCCCTCATCCTAGCATTTCTCCTTCCTAGGAACACTGCTTGTGACCCCTGAGAAAAACTAAGGGAATCCTGCTGCTCAGGGTAGTAAGGCGAGCAGGCTAGGTCAGCATGATGATCCCTTGCGGCTTTACAGATCAGGGTACCTATGAGACATGTGGGGGACTCCTGTGGAGCCCTGCCTGATGGCTGGAAGAATGAAACCAGGACCAGCGTGTGGAATGCGGTCCTGGGGAAGACTGTGCTACCTCCCACAGGAAGAGTGCCTGGGGGATTTTATTTATTTTTTTTTTTTTCTGAAATGCACTAGTTAAAAGGCATCTGCAGGCAGAGCATCACATTCCATTGCAGTCAATAAATCAGCAATGGTAACTATGAAAGGAAATGTGAATGCTTCTCCAGCTCAGAAACAACACCCAGGACTAATGCCTTTTAATGTAAGTGTATGTCAGAAGCAGAAGCTTAATGTGTATAAAGCCCACAGAGATAACTCTTATTTTGGTGTTATTGCTAGTGTGTCCGTCCTTGCTTTCATAAAAAGAGTGCGGTGATATCCAAGAGTGGCATTTTGCTCCTCGTATAAATAGAACAAGCAGATCAGCATGACTGAGTGATAAAATTACCTTCAGGTCTTTGGGAACTTCAGCATGCAACTGTGCTATAGGGACCTCAGTGTACCCCTCTTCACAGCACAAATACATTTGGAAATGGACCTGGAGGAGACATACAAGGAGGAAGAGAGTATGGAGGGGACAGTTACTCGAGCTGCAGCTGCAAAGTTGGTGAAAAAGGCTTTTCTTGAAGCTGTGAAGTGCAATGACTTTGAAACACTGGAAGAGCTCTTGAGCCAAAAGAAAATAGACGTGGACACGGTGTTTGAAGTGGAAGATGAAAACCTGATTCTGGCATCCTACAAACAAGGTAAACGTGGCAGCATTCACCAGCCAGGAAGTAAGTGGGTTTGAGTGATTTTAAAGAAACTGTGGCCTTTTCTCTCTCCTGATGCTGCAGAGTAAGCTGATTCACAGGCAGTAATGTCTCAGTAGGCTCACACAGCTGCGGTCACTGCAGCAGGGGAGCTTATCAGCTGTACTTGCTGGGCTTGGTGGAGGGCAGGCCAGAGAGCAGCCTGAGCCTCTGCGCCACTGAGGCAGCTGCTGCAGCTCCAGGGGAGTCTGGAAAGAGGAGTCCTTTGCTATTTCTTCACAGACAACTCGGTTGCAAAGCCCAGAATAGACACATGCAGGCCAGGTGTGGTATATTCATTTCTTGCATGTAGCCAGTCACATATACAGACCATTTAGAAACATAAAAATTCAATGTCTTCCATTTTCAATTTACAGTAGTACTACAATGAGTTCTCCCTACCTCGGGAGAGGGAAGGAAACCCTGTGGACCTTGGATGTTGCTGGATGGGAGGAGATTTATTTTTCAAACTGACAGAAAATGAGGATGTACTAATCTACCAAAACAGAAAAAACATCTGGAAAAACACAACCAGGAAAGACATCTGTTTCGGAGTGTAGAAACCTCAAATCAGTTGTCAGCCAGACACTGGTCGAGTTTCCAAAAACTTACAACTTAAAGCAATAAACCAAGTTTGCTTTCTGCTAAAAATCAACATACTTCATGACCTACTTGCTAGCAGAGTAGAATACAGTAATGATCAGCCTCTACTAGAAGTTAATCATATGTGAAGTTAAATACCCCCAGTGCCAGCAGCACAGCAAATGTACTTCCTCTTCTGCGGCATAAAGAAGGGACAGCATCCCACCTCTTCTCCTTTTCTGTGTTTACCTCTAACTTAATGATGGCTCCTGTTCTTTTGATTTCATTAGGGTGAGGATGATGCGGTCACAAGGTACTTTCCTTGGGGACAGTGTCTGAACTAAGCCACTCAGTGATGAATATATCTTGAAAGACCTTTTCTTCTGTCCTCAGCAGGCTGAGATGCATTCTCATTGTGGTTTGAGACTACAGGATGAATACATAGGTTTTTAATTATAGATCATTTGACCATAAGCATTAACCTGTCTCTTTTGGAGAAGTCTCTCCTTTCTTGAAAAAGTGGAGAGGTAAATGCACCTTATGGCCTAAATCACAGCAATGTATTCACTTTGTCTGAAAGGCAAGAGACACTGTATCGAGTTTTATGCAAGTTTTATTTTTATTCTGAATCCTAGATAATTGTGATATGACAAGGGAATTTCCTTGAGGAGGAAATGGGGAGAAAAATTAACCCCTACATTCTTACCATTCAGACACTGGAGCTTTGCCATAGCCCTTGAGCAATGAAGGGGACAAGAGATGTCATGGGTGACAGACTGGCTTTGCTTCCTCTCTTCCTAAGAGGCTGAGAGCTCCCAAGGACACTGATCTTGCATGCACCATGGCTTCTTTGTGTTTCTAACCAAAGAAACAGGCAAACTGAATGAGACCTCCCTTGGAGCCCATGTCTGCTTCCAACTCGGTGCCTGGTCCCTGTCCATCTGGTCTCAGAGACGCCTGCAGGTTTGGGCAGAGGACATGGGAGATGCTCCCTCAGCATGTTACAGCACAGCTTACTTGTACCAGCACAGGCAAAGGAAATAAATGGTGGTCTCTGGCAGGAACATCGTGGCTATATAAAGCGATAACTTGGCTTATAAGGACCAATTTCCTGCTGTTATGGCTCACATCTGGCCATAAATGTGAGGCCCAGCTCCGTGAGGGATAAGCTAGCAATGCTCCACAGCTTGCTGGTAACAAGGGGGAATACTACAGGTGAGTTCAGATAGAGAGGTGATTCAAGAGACTTGTTCTGCTATATGCGTAGATTTTGGGATATAGCCCACCTACTTTGTGCCCAGTTTGGGGGCATATGATAGAAAAGTTGTCTTACTGGAGTTGCCAGCATAAGCTGCATAGTCAGTGGGTTTAGAGGGGGTTGAGTGGCTGCAGAGGAGCCTGTCACCCTGCTTGGGCACTCAGGTGCCTCAGAGCTGCCTGCTGCGGCCATTCACAGCAGGGATTCCTCGGGGACTGGGTTTGGTAGTCCCCAAAATTTAGTCCTAGAGTGGATGCCATGGTCTATAGACAGTTTCTCACTCCAACATCTCACACACTGGCATCAATAAATGCTTATTATTATTTTATTATTATTATATTATTATTATTGTACAGGAACAAGTCATTGCAGCCATGCCAGAGAAAGATGTACATGTATACTGATGTTATATCTGTAACCTTTCAGAGGCATACAAAAACTGCATTACTGGCATCTACCTCAGAATATACCTGCAATTTGACTAGGAGGGAAGAAAACTTTTAAGCCAAGTTTCTCCCTTCCACCAGCACTTTGTTTCGATCTACCTCTTTTCTTCCTCTCCATCTTCTGTCTAATAAAGCATACATGAACACTGTAAAAACTGTACGTATAAGACATTAAGGTTGAAAAGCTATATACAACTAGAGATTCAAAAATGAGGGTCTGAATTAATTTGAGCTCATAATACATCTTCAGTATTTTTTTTCTGTATCCTTTACATGGTAACAGTGTTCAACCAGGCACTTGTCCAGGGAGAAATAGATAAATCAAACCTAGAAAATTTTATAAGCACATTCTAGCTAAGATGCAGCTGCTGTATCTAAAAAAAACCATAACAAGAGAGAGAGAAAAGAACTAGATTTCTCCTGCCCTTCTGCACATTATTATTGTGTTTTACTTTCTTTTAAACAAATGATTATAGTAATCACTTCTGAGACTGTGCAGTCATTAAGCATGTAGTCCTATTTTTGGAACAAATATTTAAGTGTTATTTGGTCTTACACCTGTTTGTAAGTAAAAAGAAAAATCCAAACATGTTTGAGCCAAATTTTATGCTAAAGTGTCACTGCTTCTGTTTGGCTCTTCAACATAATTTAAACCAGCATCTAAACTCCTCACTCCTCGCTCCTCAGCAGCAGTACTTGGCAGGAGGTCTGTGATACCGCTGCAGCCACATTGCCAGGGGTCATCTGTGTGCAATACATCACTGGAGGTGTGAATCCAGCTCCTGATGTGCAAGATCCTGCCATCTCCCACACAGAAACCGTAGGATGAGCTACATGTTGAGTCACTGGCCTAAGTAAATGATGCCTTCTTATTCCAATGCCACCTTTGTTCCGCTATTGGCAGGCTGAAGTTCCCATTTCCCCCATATTTTGCAGCTGTGGCTTTTCAAATCCTCTCAGCATCTTTTTTCTTTTTTTTTTTCTTTTTTTTTTTTTTTTCCAGTTTACACAGGCCACAATAAAAACAAAAGTTACCTTTGGAGTACACCTAGATGGGAATTAGTCCCCAGAAGGCAGGCTATTTGGCACACATAGTAAAAGCGCTTAATGAAAATGAAGTTTTGCTTGAGAGAACCTTGTGTGCACTAAGCTGTAGCTGGTAAAATTACAGTAAATTAAATCAAAACTCTAACTCTTTCTTCTCCCTCAATTATTCTCAGTAGGTGGATAGCCCAAGGTCAAGTCTGTGCCAACGATGGTAACACATTTTTGCTTTGTGTAGGGTACTGGCTGCCTAGCTACAAACTGAAAATATCCTGGGCAACTGGACTTCATCTAGCTGTCATGTATGGACATCTGGAGAGTCTTTTGGTCCTCCTCAACCACAAAGCTACAATCAACTGCCGGCCCAATGGAAAAGCTGCAATCCACATTGCATGTGAAATGGCAAATGTCGAGTGTCTCGAGATCCTCTGCAACCATGGAGCTAAGCTGAACTGCTTTTCAATGAGCGGGCTGGCACCCTTGCACTTCTGTACAACACGAACATCCATGCCCTGTGCCCAGCAGCTCATTTTGAGAGGTAAGGTAAAACTCTGGAGCATCTCTCGTGGCATGGCCAGGGATGATGGGCATGATCTGTGGTTTCTCTTAGGAGCCAATTTGTCAAAGTTCATCTGTAGTTATCCCTTCCATCTCCAGCTGACCCATGTCTTCATCTCTGACTCCGTTTCTCCATCTATTTGATCAGAGGAAGTTTCTCCCGTTCTAATTCCTCACCCCAATTCTCCTTCTCTCTCCCTGGCCAATGGCCCTTACTCCAAGGTCATTTCCTATTCAGTGCCTCCAGCCCTCTGCCCAATTAGTCCCTCAACAGAAGAGCTCCTCTTTATTTTTTTATTTTTTCCATGTCTTCTTCATTTAGATTTACTACTGAGATGTTTTCACATGGAAGTGTGCCCCTCTTCTGTTCTTTCTTGTTCAAATTTCCCTATCTAATTTCAGAAAATTATATATAT